GGGTGTGGGTATGGGTGTGGCTGTGGGTCGTTTTTGAAAGTATATCCACACCAACACCCACACCCACACCCACCCACACCACACCCCACACCCACATCCACACACCCACACTCACCCACCCACACCACACCCACACCACACCCACACCCCACACCCACACCCACACCCTGATCAACAACCAACAACGTCATTATTTTAAATTATTAGCAGATTTATTAACAATTAAATTAACATCATTATCAGCGAATTATGCAACAAACAACAGACAGGTAACATCATTTATTATAAAAATATAATTATATTCTATTCTTTGAATATATCATATGAAAATATATTAATTAGAATATAAAGTATGAAAAAAAAATATAACTCTCTACATCTTCAATAAAGAGTATGTCCATATTTTCTGATCATTTCTCATTATTGGAAACGGATACAATCGATTAGTTTGAACGTTTTTATTAGAGATAGACTACCTAGAAAACGAAAACAGACGATTTTATCTCTAGAGAATGCTTCTAAATATCTCTGATAAAGATCTGATGGCTCGAAACAGCCAGAATTGAGGAAACTGCCGTTTTGTGTTACGTCAACAAGGAAACTAGCCTAGCCGAAGTAATGCCCGCCGTTTGCGTTTATATTGAGTTGACAAGGAGATCTCTGTTAAGACTAGAAAAAGTCAAAGAGAGTTTATTCCCATGGTCATTCCGAGCCTAGTTATGACAGTTTTAATAAATTTTCGATCCAACTCAACGGTATTTATCGAAACTTCCGTTGTGAAGCCAATATGAGCTCAAATGGTGGATATCAGTTTGGATAGTTATCTCGAAAGTCAAACAAGAGAATTTCTTTAATTTAGTAACTCTACAAAATTGAGATGTTTCGAGTCGGATCATGTCTCGAATTGCACATTGCACTTGAAGTTATCAGACGTTTATATTCAACTCGAAATTGAGTTTTTTGGTCAAAAAACAGAGAGCTGCCGAGACGCGATTCTTTTAGTCTATTGCAATTTTTATAGGCTTTTGCTTTTCAAATCTAAGTTTTATTATAAAAAAAAAAAAAAAAACATTTTCAGAGTTAACTCAACGATCTCTATCCCCTACTATAACGAGAAACGATTTTACTCAATTTCTCAAATAGTCGATACCTTACATTATAAAAGAAAATTCCTATTTAAATTTGTTTTTGTTTAGATTGTCTATATGTTCTTCATTTATTTATTTGAATGATGCTTTTAAAATTTTTTTTTATACATTTCCTATTTGTCATCTACAAATAATTTATATGACAAAACGTCTATTATAATAATGTTCTCATATCATTAATGGTGACCTCGATTTGTTAACACAATGTTTTTTCAACATTATTTTATTTCAAATTATATATTAATAATTGATAAACAACAATCATTATTTATAATCATTGTTGATTTATCTAACAAAGATTATTCAGAATAAATTCATCAAATGAAACAACTATTTATTATAATCGTTTATTATTTATTGAATATATTATTAAATAGAACTGAGAATTATCAATCAATTCAATAGGTATTATTTCTAAAAATAATATTTATTTACATATTCATATAACAACAAACGAAATTTTCTCATAATTAATTAATAAACGATTGGCTATTGTTGACATAGATCATCTATAATAGAACAGTCCACCTATAACAGATTCACCAAATAATTATCCGAGAAAATTACATAAACGAAGCGTTTATTAAATAAATCAAAATTATCATCATCAACAACAAGGCAAATACAAATCCAACTAGAAACATCAACAATAATTCTATGAGAAACAAATTCAACTTACTATTATTGTTATTATTGATTAGTTTATTAATATATTTATTTTCAATAAATATTTATCTAAATGAATTATTTATATTTATATCGAAATCTTTATATGATATAAATCGTTCATCTAACACCATTTTTATTATTAAATCAATATTGAAACAAAGATAATTTAATTAAATTAATTTTAAATACAGAACTAATTTGGTTAATATATTCATTTAATTATTTTTTAATTGATTGTATTTATAATTATATATATTTACCAATTGAAATTACGATAAATAATTATGATAAACAATTTAATGATGAACATAAAAAAAAAACATTTTCCACCATTTAAAAAATCAAAAAAAAAATCTAATAATAATAGAGAAGAAATTGTTGTAGAATTTCAAAATAATAAAACATCTGAACTTCTATATATTATATCGAAGAAGACAACGATTTTTTTAATAGTTTTAACTCAATCATCATCATATAAGAGAACAATAAATAATGTTAAATAATGATCTGTTAACCATATTCAATTGATAATCGTCTTCATTGGTTATTGAGAATTTATATTACAGTAAATCAATCATATAAAATCCAAACATTATTAAATAAAAATTTATTTCAATTAAATCAATATTCAATTTATTATTGTTTAAAATATAGCAAATAAATGATTTAGATCATCAATATGATATAAAATGGAATTATTCATAACGAACAATTGATTTATTAAATCATATTTATCTTAATTATTTTATTGAACAAAATCATTTTATATAATATACTTAGGGCATACCAAAAGTAGTGGCAGTGACACTTTATTCCCTTATAGTGCGCTCAAAGAAACTTTCCTTCTATATAGTTTGATAGAGAAAAAAAAGCTCTATCTTTCTATACTATTTGATCATACTTCAACTTATATCATAATATCAAATTATCTATAGAACCTATTTCGACTGGTTATGTGCTGGTTGTACTAGATCACAACGTTGAGACAGGTTAGTTTTCACTGTATGAACAAGTAAAATGTACTATAAGATGCAGCATGAAAAGCTCTACAATTTATATACGGCCACTTATTTTATAACTGTACTTTTTATTTTCAAAATCGACAAAATTTTGAGTAATCGAATAGCGACCATGCGAAAAAGATAATGTTTCCGATACGCAACGAATTCATTTTTATTATTTCATTGTTTCATCACCTGATATGCTTCATCAAAAGAAAAACAAAATATATCAGAAGATGCAGCGTGAAAAGCTCTATAATCTACATAATAAAGCTCATTGTAATTGTTTTCAGAAAAAAGAAAATTCTATGCGACTAATTTTCGCAACACCCAAAATTTGATCCCTCAAAATTTTGTTGATTTTGAAAACAAAAAGTGCAGTTATAAAATAAGTGACCTTATATAAATTGTAGAGCTTTTCACGCTGCACCTTATGGTACATTTGGGTTGTTCGTACAATGTATTAAGAGATTGAAAACTAGCCTATCTCATAAGTTATGATCTAGTACAACCAGCACACAACCAACCGAAATAGGTTTTATAGATAATTTGATATTATGATATAAGATGAAGTATGATCAAATAGTATAGAAAGATAGAGCTTTTTTTTCTCTATCAAACTATATATAAGGAAAGTTTCTTTGAGCGCACTATAAGGGAATAAAGTGTCACTGCCACTACTTTTGGTATGCCCTAAGTATATATGGGAAGTTAATAAATTAAAAAGATATGGTGATAAAAACTAAAAAATATAAAGGGGAAAAACTTTCGAGGTGCACAGTACTATTAAAATCTTTTTTATTATTTATTTTATTAACTTAAATAGGTATAATAACAAAAACAAGATGACAACAGAGGAAAATAAACATAAAAATCTTTTGAATGCACTAATGTTTTGTCGACAATTAAGTGTTTCACCTTAGAACAATTGAGCCGTGTCGTATTTCTTGTGAAGTTTTTTGTTACAATTATTAATTGATTGTAATCGACTGTCAATTTCATTAGACGAGGTAGATGAGTTTTTGTTTCATTGAGAAACTGTTCCACATAATCAATATGACTATGTTCCAAACGAAGCGAAACAAGATAAGGATATTCAACGACTGAATACAGTTGATTATCATCAGAATTCAATTTGTCTGATATCTGTGATGGTGATTCAAAATTCATAACAGACAATTTTTTAAGTAATGGAAAAAAGCGAGCAATTCGAACGAAAAATTCATGTTTGAATGGAGTTTCATCATATACCAATACGTTTGTAACATTACTAAAAACAATAGGTGGAAATCCGTTGCCAATACCGTCAATATGGTCAAACATGAACGGTAGCGAAAAAACATGACATATAGCATAGTAAGTGCTATAGTATAGAATACACATCACGTGTTCATATCCTATATTAGTAAAAGTTCGTTGAATATCATCGCTCGATAAATCATGAACTAGATTCAATTCAGTTCTGGTATTAATATGAAAGTTAAATTTATGAAGCCGTGGCATATGAACAAGAATTTGATTATGAATCTGAGTACCATCGACAAATGTAGTTCGATCATCATTAACAATATCCAAAGTTAATTCTTCAAGATTTGACATACGATGAAGAAGAGGTAAAACTTGACTATCATATTCATTAGTGTAGCAACGACAAGTTAATGAGAAACATTTCAAATTAGGTAGTGAATCCTAGAAAATATAAATCAACATTTTTAAATGTACTATTATCGATAATAAAACAAGAAAAGTTCAGATGAATAACTGATTGAAAAGATACATTTCTATTTAATTCAATTAGAAATATTCCTTCAACTCAATCGTATATATATATATATTCGTCCACAATGATGATTAACACAAATATATGAGATTTCCTAAACTTTTAATACATCAGAAATAATTCGATACTAATGAAAAAAACTCAAAAATTTTAGATCAAGCATTTTATTATTGTAAAACAATGAAAATGACTAAAGGGAGTGAAGAAATTAACGATTATTTATAGCTATAATACAAGAATTTGGCTTTTTGTCTAGTTCCCGAACAGTTAAGTATTTATTAGAAATATCTCAACAAACAACATTCTCAGTTTTATGTTTTAAGCCCCCCCTCCCCTGAAAAAAGTCACTTTTCGTCAAAATCACCGAAATTAGGATAAATACAGGGGAAGATAGCCCATCATTTGATCTCTCAGAAACGACAACAATTTTTACTCGACACCTCTTTTTTCCAAAAATTTTTGAAGATTTTCGTCATCCCCTATTCGAAAAACAAGCTGTTTTTGAAAAAAACCGAAAATCTTTTTCGATTTTTCTCGTTTTGTAGGTTCTCGATCGCATCTCCAAGATTTCTCGAAGGAGCTTCATTGTAGTCAATAATTTTTTTTTGTTTGAAAGAGCGTGGAAAACTCCAGTGCCTATAAGAGTCAGTTTTTTTATTAAGCTTTGCTTTTATTATATATATATAAATCTTTATATAATTAGAGTGCCATTTTTTTAGAGTGTTTTTGAGTCATTGAACTTTCGGTCCCTTTTTTTCCCTTAAAAAGTAAGGATAAAAAAAAAAAGGGGCCCTCATAGGCATTGCATCCGAACATGTTCTTTCAAACAAAAAAAATCAAGCATGTAGAATGAAGGGTCACAGAGAATTTTTGGAGACGCGATAAGCTATTTCTTGACCCTTGTTTGGTTTGTAGTTCCCTGATACATCAGGATAGGAGGCTGAAAATTTTACCACAGACGTCCTTTGATAGCCGCAACATATCCCCAAAGTTTCATGGCATTTGGATGTTCCTGAGCTGAGATCGATTTTTGAGGGGGTCTTAAAAAAGAATCGTATTTGACTAAAAAAAAAAGTACAGTATGGATAAATCTAATATGCATCAAAAGCTAATAGTTTGTTTATTCAAATGAAATTCAATCATTCGATTTATTTCCTCAAAATAACTCATATACACTAAAATCTAAGGTATAAAATATCCTATATTTACTCATCGAATAGATCAGCATGATTTTACAACTATTTACTATAATTATAGTTGATTAAAAGAGTTTAGCATTTCATTAGGAAACAATCTATAATACTACTCTAAACAATACTATTGTTTTAACTTAAAAAATTAATCTAATAATACATAAACTTACCATATTATAAACAACTGATGAATGAGAATCTGTAATATCAATAATAACATTAAACGTCGTTAACTGTTTGAGACGACCATCAAGTAAAGCAAGACAGTCTTCAAAACATCTCACAAAAACACATAACTTGTAAAGAGTTGAAGAGGAACAGGTAGTAAAAGATGAATTGTGAACTGTTAAAAGTGAATATAATCCATTAATAGACAAATGTTTTAAATTTTTGAAGAATTTTAAAATATGTTCGTGCACCCCGTTTCGATATTCTCTCTCTAATACAATATCGATATAGCTTTTGTATACAAGAATAAGATCTGTAATTTGTTGTTGAAAAATACGACGAAATGGTGATTCATCTAAATAAATAAAAAAATAATTAGACTATGTAGTGTATACAACGTTTCTAACAAAACCTTTGCTCACATCAGCATGGAAGTTTTTTACCTGTAAAATAACATGAAGCGATTTTGTCCGTGAAATTGAAGAGTTTAAGTTCAGTTAAATTAGGATAATCCGCAGCAAGATAAATACGTTCCATAGATTCTGATTCAAGAATAAGCGATTTAACATTGTGATTAATTTTAGGCAATATACTAATGCAAAACCGATCAAGTATTGGATCAGTAATCGACAAAATTTCATCAGTTGACGTTGTTAACACAAAATTGAGAGTATTAGTGAAAGTTTTTTCTTTTACTATCATATTAAGTCGTTGATTATCAACATCCAATAATGAATATAGAACATCAATATTATCAAGTTTCTTTAAAATAATATATAAGATTTCGTTAGATAGATCAAGAAATCTAACATTTGACCGATACATGTTAATTTTGATTGATGCTTTACTTAACATGCTTAGAACATATATATATTTATTGTTTGACCCCTTACACTTATTGTCGTCATTGAATAAAATGACCGGATGACCCCAATGGAAAAAAAAATAGTGTCGATGGATAGCCAATGAATTCAAAGATGAACTGATCTATTGTTTTTGTCGTTTACTTCTGATTGGTCTGTATTCTCACTTATATGTTATCCTATATTGGTCGTAGAAAGTGAACCAAATATAACGTCGTGGAAGCTAGCCCAACCCGATCATTCAGCCTAACGAAAATAATGATTCTATTGAGTGATTCTTTAACCAATAGATATCGTCATATTCATAAAACACCACTACGGAGGAGCATAAAATAAATAAATTTTGGAAATGGTCGCCTTAGTGATGGTATATTTGGATTATATTTTTCGCTTTAATTTTTTTTGGAATTAAATGATAATTAGCATTCTTGCTTGTTGTATGCAAATGACATGCATTTTTATTATGAACGAAGAACATGAAAACAAGCGTGATTAAAAATATGTAGATATAGTAACAATAAAAAAAAAACAATATTTTCAAAAAATTCTACTTAGAGCGTACCAAAAATAATGGCACAGGTACTTTTTTTTCTTACAGAAAGCTTGAAAAAGTTTTCTTTTTTTTTTGAACAAATAGAGCGTCTTTCTCTCTATCTGTGTATGGTATTTGATTACTATTCAACTAATATCGTAATCATAAAACGTCGATTCAAAATGGGCAAAACTCTAGGCTACCAAATTTCGACGTTACTAATACTAACATCATCTGAATTTTTCTATGAAAAGACTCGCCTATTGAACCACTTCGACACATATTTATGGAACATCCATAGCTGCTGCACAGATTCATAAAATTTTTTAGTTAGCACAAATTCTCCCTGATGATGTTGGTGGTGGTAATAGTAGCCACACAATCTAAATTTGTGCTAGCCTCCGACGTAACTTTTCAAACAGTTGAATACATATTTCGTAACATCCCTGCCGACCGTACCATTCACATATAGATTTTAAGTTAGCACAAATTTTCTCACATAGCGTTCCAGGTGACACTAATAATAACACTATTTTAATTTTTGCTAGTGTTAGACGCGAATTTTCATCCCGATAAATACATATTTTTCAACATCTCTGGTTGATGTACATTGTCATAACATTTTTATATTAGCACAAATTCTTACTGATGCCGTTGTTAGTGGTACTGTTAGTCCCACTCTTTTTATTAGTGCTACTGTAGGGCGGGGTTTTTGAACCACTTGAATACATATTTTTGAACATCTCAAGCTGCTGCACATCGTCATACCATTTAAAAGTTAGCCCAAGTTTTTCCTTATCATGTTAGTGGTGGTATTACTACTCACATGGTCTTCATTTTTTGTGGCATAGGACGGGGCTTTTGAAACAGTTGAAAATATATTTTTGAACATCTCTAGCTGCTGTGCATCTTCATATGATTTTTAAGTTAGCACAAATTTTTCCTAATGATGTTGGTGGTGGTAGTAATACTAAGATTGTTTTAATTTGTGCTATTGTTTGACAGGGCTTTTAACCTAACTGCATACATAATTTTGAACATCTGGACTTGCTGCACATCTTCCGATGATTTTCAAACTAGCACAAAATTTTTCCGATCGTGTTGGTGGCGGTATCACTGCTAATATCATCTTCACTTTTTGTACCATAGGACGGGACTTTCCACCCACTTTAATACATAGTTTTAAACATCTCTACCTGCTGTATATCGTCATACCATTTTTAAGCTACCACAAATTTTTCCTGATGGTGCTGGTGGTGATATTATGACTGGCAAAATATAATTTTTTTCTATCATAGGACGGGGCTTTTGACCTAGTTGGATACATATTTCGGAACATCTCTGGCTGCTGTACATTGTCATACCATTTTTATATTAGCATAAATTTTTCCTTATGATGCTGGTGGAAGTATTAATATTAACATTGTTTTTATTTGTGCTAGTGTTAGCCGGAGCTTTTCCCTCGATGAATAGATATTTTTCGACATCTCCGACTGATGCACATCATCATACTATTTAAAAGTTAGCACAAATTTTTCCTGATGGTGTTGTTGGTGGTACTAATACTAACATTTTTTTTCATTTCTGCTACTGTGTGACGAGGTTTTCGAATTAGTTAGGTACATATTTTTGAACAGCTCTACTTGCTGTATATCGTCATACCATTTATAAGTTAGCACAAATTTTCCCTGATGGTGTTGTTGGTGGTATTACTACTAACATGATCTTAGTTCTTTGTGGCATAGGACGGGGCTTTTGAAACAGTTAAAAACATATTTCTGCACATCTCTAGCTGCTGCACATTTTCATATGATTTTTAAGTTAGTACAAATTTTTCCTAAAAGTGTTGGTGATGGTATTAATACTAACATTTTTTTTATTTGTGCTATTGTTTGACGGGGCTTTTAACCTAGCTGAATACATATTTTTGAACATCTCTTGCTGCTGCACATTATGATATCATTTTTAAGTTAGCACAAATTTTCCCTGATGGTGCTGCTGGTGTTATTACTACTAACATGATCTTAGTTCTTTGTGGCATAGGATGGGGCTTTTGAAACAGTTAAAAGCATATTTCTCAACATCTGTAGCTGCTGCACATCTTCATATGATTTTTAAGTTAGCACAAATTTTCCTTGATGGTATTCGTAGTGATTGTAATACTAACATTGTTTTAATTTATGCTAGTGTTAGACGGGGCTTTTGACCTAGCTGAGTACATATTCTTGAACATCTCCGGCTGATGTACATTGTGATGTCATGTAAAAGTTAGCACGAATTTTCCCTGATGGTGTTGATGCTGGTATTACTGTTAACGTTATCTCAACTTTTTTGTAGTATAGGACGGAATTTTAGAAACAATTAGAAACATTTTTCTGAACATCTCCACATGCTGTACATCTTCATACAATTTGGAAGTTAGCACAAATATGCTGATAGTATTTTTGATGGTATCATTAGTAATATTATCTTTTTCTTAGGTGATATGTTTTTTTTATATTGCTGGTTGCTAGGGAAAATTATTGGTATTTTATGGATTATTTTAGGTATTTTACGCGTACATTATGATTGGGGGACGAGTGAATAGCATCCTATTGGTCGTCGGGCTAGCTTCACAGTAGTCCAAATATATCAGCCAAAGAATTGTGGCTCACTTCATATAGACCAAATGAACCAATGAAAGTCGACTCCGTATTTTACCACAATTAGTCTATTTTTTTTTCTTGTAAATGACAGCTGCATTATATGACTATTGTGCACTTGCTTTTTTCGTCAATATTTTTTTCTCAAACTTTTGAATCTTTTTTTCATTTGCAGTCATAATTTTTTTGTAAAAATTCGATAAACTATATAAAAATCACAATGAATCCCATTAATGATTGTTCTGTCAATCGTGCTAATTCTAATAGTCAATTACATCTTCATCATCAATCAATTCGAAATAGAGCCGCAGAAGTATTTTATGCATGAAACGCATTCGGTGAAAAGTACCAACTGATTGAATGACATCCATGCACCGTACTACCCATATAAAAAAATTTAGGGATAAAATCAGATTAAAATCGATTAAAAAATGATTAAAAATCGCTGAAAATCATACATCTTTTAATCGAGTTTTAATCAAAAATAACCAAAAAAGTTTCACGGATTATTTCGATTAATTTCAATTATCATCGATTAAAATTTGATGAAAAAAATCGATTATAATTGATACAAATTGATTAAAATCAGCTCAAGATTTTTTCATGGATCACGAACAGAAATCAATTAAAATCGATGTTTTTCATGAATTTTTAATAGATTATAATTGAAATTAATCGAAATAATCAATGAAATTTTGATTTTTTTTTTGGTTATTTTTGATTAAAAGTCGATTTAAATGTGTATGATTTTAATCGGTTTTAATCTGATTTTGCCCCTAAATTTTTTACATGGGTAGTGTTGATCAAATTGAAAAAAGATTTATAGCGATCGAATAGATTTTTAAGAAAGATTTGGTATCAAACCAGGAGTGAACTTTGAATGTGTACGCGAATAATATATGAAAGAAATTATAAAAGGTATTGATACTCCATTAATAACCGTTGTACAAAAGATTTCATTTATGCTTATACGTGATATTCAAAGCAGTTAAAATCTAGAACAAATAGCAACTGATTGTTTTCGTTATATCACGGCATTTGAATGAAAATGAACCGATCAAAGATCTTGATTTCGCAACCAGTGCAGTTAATGTAACAGAATTTGAATTTAGAAGATATTGCTATTTTGTTTATCATAGGTTCATTGAACGAAAAGGGTTTTAACTCTATTATCACTTCCATCAATGAGCCTTATTTTCAAACCGCTTGTTGGTCACGGACATGCAAAAAAAGTGGCCATATACGAGCTCATGTGTCTAATAAGGGTGATCTTTTCTTTGATCTATCTTCCTTTTTTAATTGATTTATTTTCATATGCAAACAAATCAATAAAAAAAAAGGAAGATAGATCAAAGAAAAGACCACCTTTATCAACACATGAGTTTGTATGTGCCCACTTTTTATGCATGTTGGTGGTCACCAAGCGAATTGGGAACAAGACTTATTATCTTTTTCGATGATTCCTTTTCAACCTGTACTTGTAATCTAAAAGGCTTTTATTTTTTTTTACAATGAATCGTCATATATCACAAAATAATGGCAAATTCATCTTATCTAGATGCATCGATTATATTGAATTAACTTATTCTCAACACTGATGAAGATGTTCGCGTTACGGACTTACAAATAAATTAGATGAAATGTAAAAAAATCTGAAAAAAACTGATTTTTTTATGATGTTTTTATGATTAAAAATCGATTATAATGGCACTATTTTAATCAAGTTCTTAATCAAAATAATGATTACAATCAATTAAATTTCTAAATAATCGATTTTCACCGTAGTAATCATAAAACACATTTTTCTCGAGTTTTAAATTCAAAACTTGGCTTTTTGATCGCTTCTGTAGACTCATCTCGTCGACAAATAGTAAGGATTGATGCCAGATCGACCTTTCACGTATACGTATATTTTTGTTCTTGATTCGATCTCGTGTGATATTAATTCATTGACCAAAAAAATAAAACGATAAACTACCCAGGTCAATCAATCCTAACTAACGGATTCCGGTGCGGATATCGCCGGAATCTGGCAAAACCCGACAAGAATAGACAGGATTCAGTCGGATTTGGCCGGATTCCGACGATATCCGACGTCGGAATCCGTTAGTTAGGATTCCGGCAAAATCTGTACAGGTTCCAGCCGGAATTATTTGGAACCGACAGGATCCGATCCGGCGTGATTGACCTGGGTAGATTAAAATCGATGAATGACTTTTAATCAATTAAAATTGATTAAAAATCAAATGCTTCAATTAAAATCCATTCTAAAAATTTCAATCGATTTTAATGGAATAAAAATCAAATAATTTGATTAATAAAATGACTAAAATTGAGTAGAAATCGAATAATCTGATAAAAAAACGGCGTTTAGAAATTTAATTGGTTTTAATAATTATTTTGAATAGAAACCTGATTAAAATAGTGCCATTATAACCGATTTTTAATCATAAAAAAATCAATTAAAATCAGATTTTTTCTGATTTATTTTCACATGAGATTCAAAAATTGATTAGAGTGAATTTGAATATTGCATTCTTAATCTATCATAGAACTCAGAAAAATCTTGTGTTGTCTTGAAAAACACTATGAACTAAAAGGCTCATAAGAAATTCATTTAAATTTTTAATAGAACTTATGGCTGACATGTGGTGACAGCTATCGACAACTTTGTATGATATATATACACATATCGGTATAATATGGACATGGACTACACTTTGGTTCACGTCAATTTTGGTTCACTTCATACGACCTAACCGTTTAAGGGAAATGCACGAGCTAAGGGAAAACATGGACGCCATGATGGAGGCGTGGATGGAGAAATGAGATTGGCTAAAAATTTTTCAAATAGAAATAATTATAGTGAGTGATGATTCACACTAAAATCGTTACAGTTCTTCTGATATCATGAAATTCATAGCAACATATTAAAGAAAATGATTCGAAGTGAAGCAGTAAGAAAGTCGTTTAAAACTGGAAAAGGTTGTGAAAAAATTGTTTTTTTTTAATCTTTTTTACCGAATCTCTCGCTAATTTTATTGGAATATTTGTTTTATGACAATAACATTGTCCTAATGTTCTGAAATTGTTTAGAACTATTGATAAAATATATAGATGCTGGAAATCATAAGTCTTGAGGGTCAAGGTGGAGATGCATAAGTGCTGGTGAGGTTATTGAGAACAAGAATATTTCAGATCTATGTTCTTCTTTGAGAAATGAATACTAGAAAAATTCGGTAATTCAAAATATACTTTTTTAGGTGACCAAAAATATTTTCACACTCAGAAATAGATCCTTTTCCTGTTTCAATGTTAGGCCCCAATCACACCGACTAATTCAAAGTGAATTAAAACAGAATTAACGAATAAATCATCTCAAAAAGACGATTTAAGTCGGAATAGACCAATCGCGTCGCTTTATTTGTTTTATCTTTTTCTGTGTGATTGGGGCCTTAATCATCACTCACTATAATTATTTCTATTT